GGTTGAACGGGGGCTTTGTACCGTTGTGGCGGGGGGGGGGCAAAAAAAAGGATGAGGAGGGAAGGAGGGGGCCCAGGGGCGGAGGGGCGTTTTGCTGCTTACCATATGGGGCAAGACAACATTTTCCCGAGATTGTGCAGCAGCGACGGACGTTCGTTAACTGTTTGTACATCCATTTTTCCTGCGCTGCTTTGCCAATCGCAAAGCGTATGAGATGTCCCTAACATTCTTGACCTCGATCAAAGAACGATACGGATTTCCCCCTGCCATTTGCAAGTGAAACCAGCAATCAAGTCAGAGTCAGAGCAGGTCCAAGAAAGAAAGAATAAAATAAATCATCAAGAAGGATATGCATTTCCCCCTGCCATTTGCAAGTGCACTCATCAATCAAGTCAGAGTCAGAGTCAATCCAAGAGAGGGGGGGAAAATCATCAAGAAAGTCAAAGTCAATCTCCATCACTGCACACTCTATCAGTGATGGGGATTGACTTTGACTTTCTTGATGGGGATTGGCTGTCTTGATGGGGGGATTGACTTTGACTGTCTTGATGGGGATTGACTTTGACTTTTTTTCACAAGTGACGGAGGAGGGAACGGTGGATAACAAAAGAGCAAGCAGCCAAGGAAAAAATACAAGCAACAATGGGCCTAGCTCAGTTGGTACACACACGAACTGTTGAAATATGAATCAGACCCAAGTTCGGATCCAGATACACTCAGATGACCAAAATAAAATCATTCCGAATTACCTCGGGCCAGTCAGTTCAATGATGCTATCTCAAAACTGTCGCGCTTTTAAGGAAAAAAATACAAGCGATAGGCTTTGTGTTCCCCGGAATAGAACAAACGGTCACGATGGCTGTATGTAGACTGAGCAGTGCACCAAATCCAGACATAATGTCCGTATGTTCTATTCCGAGGAAGACAGTAGCAGTACAGGTCCGACTGCTCACCAGTCAATTTGTCATGCGACCACACATGCATACATACAATGCATCTAAACCACAATGATTAGAGCCATAAATATGTCTGTGTGGGTGTGTTTGTGTTTTTGTGTGAGTTTTCGTGTGCGAGTTTTTGTGTCAAATAAAATGCACAGTTTATACATCTGTATTTGAGGCAAATTTGAGTCCGTTTGAGTCTGTTTGAGTCTGTTCGAGTCTGTTCTGAGTCTCTTTTGAGTCTCTTTCGAGTCTGTTTGACTCTGGGCACTGGGTCTAAAGAGGGCCAGCCTGATCAACCGGCACAGCTCCCAAAGCTGCGACGGAGTTCCCCCAAATGCACCCAGCCTGATCCTGGGTCCAAGTGCGTGTAGAGTGTGGAGTCCTGGAGAGAGGCCCTATATTATCCCAGTCTATCCGCTTCTGGGCTGGGATAAAAGGTTGAACACCCCAAGCGCACACAGTCTAGAAAGGAGTCCAAATGCATGCAGAGTGTTGAGTACTGGAGCAAGGGCTCCCCCCTATCTCAGTCTATCCACTTGGGCACCCCACCCGAGCCATCAGCTACAGCCCGGCAGCCTTCCAGGCAGATTTGCCCGGCCCGTACGTCCGGCCAAACAGACCTAGCTTATGGGCCAATTCTAATTCTGTCCCCTTTTGGCACGATCGAGTCCCCTTTTGGCCCCATCCCATCCAGGTTGGTCCCGTTCCATCCACGCCTTCTGGCCCGAATGTGTCCCCTTTTTGGCTCGATTCTGGCCCCTTTTTGGCTCGATTCTGGCCCCTTTT